TAATAGAAAAAACAGACAAATGGTTTTATATAAAACTGAGAAGTTTATGTACTGCAAAAGAAAGAACAAGATGAAAAGACAATGCATAGAATGAGAAAATAGTCACAGACTAGTCATCAGATAATCAGTGCAACTAGTTATCAAAGAAATGCAATCAAAACCACCACAGGATATCATCTTACCACAGTTATTCAGAAAAGAAAAAAAGGACCAAATGTGGGCAAGGATGCAGAAAAGATTCGTAAATTCTTGTTGGTAGGAATGTAAATTGGTAAGGTGATTACATGAAGCAGTAGGGAGATTCTTCAGAAAACACAAAGAGATCTACCTCACGATTCAGCCATCTAACCACTGCAAGTATATGCCCCAAAGAAATGAAATCACCGTATGATCTGCCACGTTTATTGTAGTACTGTTAACCATAGCCAAGATAGAGAATCACCTTGGGTGTTCATCAGCAGATGAACAGGTAAGAACATATGGTATATAATATTCCCAAGGATATATTAGCCAGCCATGAAAAGAATGAAATTTTGTCACATAACATGGATGATACTAGAGGGCATTACAGTAAGTAAAGTAAACCAGACCCTGACAAATACCACATTGTCTCCCTCATCTGTGAAAGCTGAAAAAAAGAACAAAACAGTTATCTCATGGAGAGATTTATATAATAATGATGGTTTCTAGAGTTTGGGAAGGAACAGGAGGATACATGGAGGGAGGCTGGGTAACCAAATTATAATTAGATAAGAAAAATCTTTGTGTTTTTCAGTACAGTGTGTGACTAGTTTATAATAACCTATTACATATTTCATGAAGAACTAGAAGGCAGGAATTTGATGACTCCATTTGATGACCACAAAGAAATGATAAGGAGATAAAAGTGTTCAATGTCTTGGTTTTTAGGCATTGGAATTATCCCATGTATTGGATTATTACATTGTACATAACTATGTACAATTATTAATGTGTCTATAAAATCATAAAGAAGAAAAGATAGACTTGACAGAACTGCGTGGGAATATGGACAGAAAATACTGTCACCTAAAAGTGGGAAAATTTGGCCTAGCCACACCAGGAAGCGATAAAACAGCCTCTTGAAGTTCACAGTTCTGCACCGTTCTGACTCTTGCTCCCCAGAGTCCCCTTAGTCTTCTACACTGTGCTGCAGCAGGATTCTCAAAGCTCAGCGATAGCTTGCTCATCAGAAGAAAGAATGGATTTCCCAGTTTTTCTCCCAGTGCTCTCTCTCTCTCTCTCTCTCTCTCTCTCTCTCTCTCTCTCTCCTCTCTCTCTGACATCACTCTAGTTTTTTGCAATGTCAATTTCTTCGCCCAAATCTCTTTTTGAAGCTTTATGATAAGTACAATATTTTTCTCTCCAAACTTTCTGGCCATTCTGCTTTTTGCCTTCTAGAACCAGAAAGCAACCTTTCCCCATAATTTGGCTTCCAACCCTACTGCACACTCCTTTCTTTGAAAATATTACCCAACCTTATACTTCAACTGCAATACCGACAAGACTCAAATGTATATTCTCAGCCTCGGTCTCTCCTCTTCAGCTTTTCCCTCTGAATGACTTATTTTCCTTATCTTTATCTTCTGCTAAAATTGATTTATTCTCTCAATTGTTTTAGTAATGGTGTCATCATTCTCAAAATCTGAAGTCTTCAAACTCAACAGTCATCTCCAATTCCCTTTTCCTGGACCCTTGGTCCAATTAATAGCCTCATTCTATGAAATCTTCCTTCAAAATATCTCTTGAAGCTCACCTTCCCATTTTTACTTCTGTCAACCTGAATAATTCCCAACCATGTACCACCAAGAATGGTAACAGTAACTTTCCACCGTTTTGGGTACTGTGGCCAGACTGACTTTGTAGAATTAATATCTTTGCTTAAAAACCTACAAACTTCTCCACTGAGAAAAACATAAAGTTGGACTTTTGGCAGTTAAGACTATAGTATAACATCATCTTGCCAAACATAAAAGAGTTTGGGCCCAGAAGCAGAAAAATCTGTGTTGAAATCCTGGATCTCTTATTTACTAGCAATGTTATTATAGGAAAGACAATCAACTCCTCTAGCCCCCAGTTTCTTTCCCTAAAAATATGAGGATAATTGTGCTAATATCACAAAGCTCTTTTAAGAAAATCTGTGCAAAGGCCAGCAAAGTGAAGCATCCTCCACAGGGCACTCAATGAGTGATAGGCACCATGATGATTTCCTCCACAGGAACTCAGTGAGTGATAGCCACTATGATGATTTTCTGCACAGGGCACTCAATGAGTGATAGCCACCATGATGATTGCCTGCACACAGAAGACCACAACTGGCTAAGTTTTAGAGAAAAAGAGACTATAGAGTCCATGTCCTTGGATAGGACTCTTATACTAAACCTTACCCATCCACAGCTCAGGGACCACTGAGGAAGAGGGAGCAGAGAGGCTGTAAGAGCCAGGGTTGGTGCATGGACATCAGGAAATGGAGACTTTCCAGCCTCTGGGAACCTGCTTATATGAACTTGCAACAATGGTGACAGCATGCCCAAGACCCATGCCGACCCAATCAGACAAAAACCCAGCACAGAACTAGAATGGGGGAAATGGGCAGCAGCACCAACCCTAGCAAAGGAAATATTGGAAAATGATTACTGTGTAGTATGGCAGGGTAGATCTGCTTTAAGGGAGTGACCCTGGATAGGATGACTAGACTCTGGTGAATAAACTCATACCAAGAGACATCTGGATACAAATGCTTGACCAGATAGGACTTAATGACAGAATGTCTGAAATCCGGTGTGTGTGTTGAGGGGGGCACTATGGGGGTCGGGGAGGAGGGAAGGAGTCTAAATTTGATTAAGATGTATTATACAAAATGCACAAAAGCTCAGTTAAAAATTGGGGATAAAAATAATGTAATAATAATAATAATGACAGAAAAACTGCCCTTCTGATCTATCAAAATACTTATTCCTCAAACCTCAGTCCTAAACAATTACGTCCATGTAGAATCTATCACAAATAGTGGTCTTTAGGTAGTTATTCATAGAGATCTACTTGAAAATATTATTTTTATTACCACTGAATATCCACCCCACATATTCCTTCCTACCCATCAACAGCATGTATCTTACCTTACCACAAGATAAAGTTTTAAATGTATTTTCCTTTTTTCCCTTATTGATATGTAGGTTCCTTCAGAGCCAAAATTGTGTTTCTGACCTAAGTACAGCAGAGACTAAATAACTATCTGCTAAAAAGGCTATTGGTTTACAGACCCAAACTGAATTACTTCTTGGGGGTTTTAAAGTGAGATTAAGAGATTAGCGCTCATCTCACTACACTAACTTTTTTTGGGAAAAAGTAAATGACTCTACTTGTTGAATACAACCAGCCCAGTGGTTTAATGGTACCAATATGTTAATAAGTATTTATAGGTATTGCAAAGCATTTAATTCTTGATAGTAGTATATTCATCGGGTTTTATTTTAACCTCCAACTCTGTGCTCTAGAAAGAGTTGCTTGAGTATGTATCAAATTTCTTCAAGTAATGAGCACAAGGAAACACAAGCCAGGAGAGTGGCATCATCTCATCCCATTCTATGATTTCTGGAACTAAATGAATGACTCAAGTTGTATTTTCATTAAGTAGAGAAATGCTTTAAGATATATTTAGCATACATGCAAATTTTTAAAAATTCTAATGACATATTCAAATTACTTAGGATATTCAAATATGAAAGGCAAAACAGTATTTTCAACATCATGAGTTCAAATGGTTTTTAAATGAATTTAGAAATTTTCAAAGGTTGATTTCATACTAACTGAACCTGCATAACAAATAAAGTCAGATCTGAAAAGTTCAGTCAAATATCTCACTGTTTTGTTTATATGTTATTAAATAAGTGGGTTGGCTGAGGTCTGTCAATTAAATAAGCTGAATTTTTTCCAAAAGTAGGATGACTGGTCATTTTTACTTTTGGTCAGTAGAGCTTTTATAATCCATAAAAAATTGACTGTATCATTAAAGACATAACAAAATGTGTTACTCATGGAAATGAAAACATTTCACTTAAAATAACAATGCCAAGGTTTGTCCTTTCTCCAGCAATGGACTACAAACTAACTTCTATCTAAAACAAATCTTAGAGTCTATTAATCCATTTGCTATCATTCTGATGAAGGAGTATTTAACTGTATTTTTAGTATGTTTTTCTTTAATGTTTATATATCCTTTTAACATAACTAGGCATTGAGCCTATGTTTTCGTTTTTTAGTAAAGAATACTGATCTAGGGGCTGGAGAGATGGCTCAGTGGTTAAGAACACTGGGTGTTCTTGCAGAAGACCCAGGTTCAAATCCCAGCACTCACATGGAAGCTAACAACTATCCATAACTCCAGTTCCAGGGGATCTGATGGCCTCTTCTGTCCTCCACGGGCATTGTACAACATGGGTGCACTTACCTACACGTAGACAATACTCACATACACATAAAATAAAATTAAAAAAAAATCTATAAAAAAGAATATTGATTTATATTGCAGTTAAATTTCTGGTTGGATTCCAACTGGATTAGAAAACCATATAGTTTGCCCACCACTTTACCCAGAATTAGGAAACTTTTTCTGCCTGCCAATTAAAAAATGTATAATTTAGACAGGCGTGGTGGCGCATGCCTTTAATCCCAGCACTCGGGAGGCAGAGGCAGGTGGATCTCTGTGAGTTCAAGGCCAGCCTGGTCTACATAGTGAGTTGCAGGACAGATGGGGCTACAGGGAGACCCTGTGTCAAAAAGACCGAAAAAAAAAAAAAAAGATAATTCGAGTGAGGTTTGCATTCTGGCAGATGTGCTATAACAAACATAAGGTCACGATGGCAGGATACATGTCTGTGACAGAGCTGACCTGTTCTGTACTGTATGGTCCAGATAACTCTTTGAAATATCTGGTAAGTTAGTGCATTAAGACACAGTTTAAAAATGAAAAAACAACTTACGGGAGGTCCGGTGTCCCCTTTTGGCCCTCTTAGATACTCCATTTCAAGCATTGCATTAAAATCCTCATAATAATAATAATCATAAAGCTCAGTTTCATAGCTATTTTCGATGGGGTAAGTAGCATCAGGGTAAAATTCACCTTTCTTCCTTAGTTCAAGGTGGTTATCCACAGATGACCCATCTGTTACTCTATACAAGGTAGTGTTTAAAATCTGTTCCATTTCCATGAGTTCGTTGGTGTGCAGGTTTGCTGTGACAGCTTTCTTGAGATTAGTCATACCATCTTGATTTGTATGTGCAAGGCTGGATGCAGTCTTTGTATGTAGCCACAAACTAGCTACCCCCTCACCATGTTGTGTGATGTTTTCTGATTCATTTAGGAGAGGGCTAAATTTCACCTCTGTGTCCATGCTTGCCTCACTGAGGTGATGGTAAGTTCCTGACAGGCTTAAATTCCTCTGTTCCTCAATGGTAATTCCTTTAGCTTGAATCCCCTTGTTTATGAGAGTCAGAGCTGAGTCATTTCCTGAATGGAGGGAAGACAACTGATATCTTGACATCTCGTGTTCTTGTCTTTTATGCACTTTGGCAGAATCATTATTTTTGATATTTGGAATGCTTTTGCCTTCAGTGAATGTCTTCTGCGGCAATTCTGTCTCACCAAATCCTCTAGGCAAAGGAGTATGTCCGGGGTGCCTGCTTGGTATGACCATTGTGTTAGGAAGGCTTGCTCCAGGCTGGGAGTCATCTGTTCGGGGACACCGCTGTTTCACATGTCTGCAGTAGTCTGCAGACGCCACTGCAGAAGGAATAATGTCCAACTGGCATACTATCCCTTCAAAGTGGACAGAATTATTATTCATACTTCCCAAGGTAAACACACTGTAAGAGTCAAAGTTCTGAGCTTCTGAAACAGTCTCTCGGCTAAAATATTTCTTTCCACACTCAGCAAACAGGGAGACAACTCGGTCTCCAATAGTGATGGCCAATGAGTGCCATTGCCCATCGTGGACACTGTGATTGAAAAGGACAGACTGCTTTCCTCCGATGTGTACTATTAGTTTCTTAGGTAGTAACTGCACTCCTAACTGCAGTCTATTTTTATTTCTAATGCTGAAGAGAAATGCATTGTTTACTCTATGTGATTGCAACCCAATCAGTACTGTAAATGGCTGTCTTAAGCTGACTGGTAAAATGTTCATGAGAGGAGACTCAATATAAGCATCATTTTTTAAAATGACACCTGATTCTGTAAAATGGAGCCCCTGAGGTAACGGTGTGAATGATGATGGCACAGCAGTCACTGATGGTGAGTGTTTTACATCTTTGCCTCCGAGGCTTAGTTGATGAAGAACATCTATGCCTGGAAATCAAAAGGGAGAAAGAGAGAAAGATAGAAAGGTTCTTACTCTTATGCATTCATGTATTCATACAAATACTTGATTATAAAAATAAATCTTCCTTCCAACTAATGCAAGCACACTCTATCAACAACTATAATAAAAAGCTAGGGAAGGGGATAGTAAGATCTTTAATCCAACAATCTGAATCAAGCGTGTGTGTGTGTGTATGTGAGACACACACATACACACACACACACACACACACTACTATCTTTTAGCCCAAAAATTAATTCAAAATTTAGTTAACACTCATTTTCTTCCATTTCACTATGACACTTGCCTCTCCACTGTATAAATATGTTCACGGATTTCAAAACACTGTTTATTTCCTGAATTTAGAAATTAAATTTTGATAACATCTATTTAAAAAGAAAGTGAGATCCTGCTTATAAAAATAATTTGTAATTCATAATCACATTCACAAATTAAATTTACAACACTATCACTTAAATTCTGACTTGTTAACCTTTTGGGAATTTAACTGAAGCTCTGTACACCTAATGCCTTAATTATATACTGCATTTGACTCACTCGCTTTGGACACCAAAATCCTTGGATAATGACTGAAAATGGAATTTAAATTTACTTTATTGTGTTCATCATATTCTGTTTCTTTCAAATTTTTCTCTCTTTAATTTTTCCAGTCTTCTCCAGCAATGTTTATCCAGTCTGTGGATTCTTTTCCAATATTTATTATGTAGTATGGATTGTATATAATATGGGTTTAATATAATTATGAATTTTCAAAAACATATTGTTCATTATAGTCTTGAATCAGTGCTCTGCTAGTCTCTCTCATGTGAAAACTTCTGGAACTCAGGTCCTGCCTGATTTATCATTGGACCTCTACTATTGGCTTTGCAAATGATTCTAGAATTTCTAAATAAGTTTTTCCTACTAGAACCAATAAGATTTCATATTCACTTGTAGAGTCATATAAATCGACTTGCCATCCATTTAAAAATGATGAATCCTTTCTTTAAAATGCAACATAACTTAGTCATATGTATGATCTTTATTATTATCTAGGTTAGAAATCTCACAGCTGCATCTGTGTGTTTGTAATAATCTCTAGTCAGAAATGTTAAAGAATTATGATTGGAAAAGATAAATAAAAATTAAAATTAGTAGGAATATTTTTCACTATCTTAATTTTTCATTTTTGCAGGGAATTAATACATAGTTACTAATTTCTGTTCATTACAAAGAATAAAACATAAACAGAGACTCTCAAATCTGATAACTATGTACAACAGTGGAGTAATCACAGAGTACTGTTCATGTGTAATATAGTAATATAAGTAGAATGCTTGGTCATAGACCTATTTACAAAATACCCAAGTGATTTAAAGTTAGACAAACTGACATTTTATAAATAAAATAGTTGTGATTTTATGGCCATTACAAACGATATAAATGTTTGTAGCTAAGACACTATACGATAGTGGGTCTCAAACATTTCTATCAAAATATTTCCAAACAGCAGTGCAGAACGGGAAGTCCCTCCAGAGATTCAGATTTTTTCATTATTTTATTTTTATTTTTTGAGACAAGGTCTCTCTATAGCCCCAGCTAGCCTGGAACTCACTATGTAGATCAGGCTGCCCTCAGTCTCACAAAGATCCACCTGCCTCTGCCTCCTGAGTTCTGGTATTAAAGGCATGCACCACTGCACCCAGCTCAGTGGAATATTTCAAAGCAATGCTGCATAATTACAAAATTACCTTGATTTGTCATGTTATTTCATTATAATCAATATAAAAATTTTAGTTATAATCCATAACATGACTACTTGCTTCCATAGTCTATATAAATTATTTACCAGCTAATTTTTTTCTTATGTGTTTTGAGTGTTTTGCCTGCATGTATGTAAGTACGCCTGTGTTGTACAATGTCCATGGAGGTCAGAAGAGGGCATTGGATCCCGTGGAACTGGAGTTATGGACAGTTGTTAGCCGCCATGTGGTACTGGGAGTCAAACCCGGGTCCTCTGTGTGAGCAGCCAGTGCTCTTAACTGCTGAGTCATCTCTTCAGTTCCATTACCAGCTAAATTTTTAACTGTGCTTATTGCCAATCTTTAATAAAAATTTATGCTCTTGAAAATTGTGTCATATAGTCTGTAACTTGGGGTGCTCTTACCCAGTGCTCTCTGACTGCAAATAATGCATACCTGATTAAAGGGAGATATCATTAGGAAGAGTGTTACTCGAAAACTTAGGAATGTGTATATGTGTTTTCAGCATTTTGTATATATAATACTATATTTCTTCCAATTCTATTTTACTGTAGTATTTGTAGCTAATAACTTCTTATAAAAAAAACCAAATGCTTTGAACATTTATTACTCAATAAATTCCATGTGAGCAAACCATGATTGCATTCCTAACCTAAGATAAAATCTACTTGCTGGTTGTATGTTATTCTTTTGATACTTGGCCACATTCTTGACTAAGAACTTATGTAGAATTGAGGCATCAATATAAAGTTCTCATTGTCGTATCTCTATCAGACTATAATATAATTTCATTATTTTGTGACAGGACAATTTAGATAATTTTGAAATTATCTTCTTTTCTCAGAATTTTATAGGCTGCATCAACAAACCGAATTCAACGTGTTGGCCTTTTCACTGACCCTCACCATTCACCTCCCTCACTTCTTCTATGTTAATATATTCTTTCTAATGTATGATGCCCCTGGAGTCAATCTTCGAAGTTTGTGTATTCCGAAGAAATACGAGACTTGCTCTAGGATTTTAAATGTACTACTTAGAGATCTTCTTATATTCTTTATGTTTCCCATTGTCCGTTTGTGTGGTTCTTTATCTCACTTCTCTGACTTGAATACTCTGCTGTATTCTTAAGACAATGCTTTTTCTTCGTTCCCAAAGGATAGCCTTTGATTTTTTAATTTATTAATTTTCTACGGTTTTTGCCCATTTTTTTTCCTTTCTTTCTTTTTTTCCTTTGGTGCTTTTGAGACAGCGTCTAGGGTCTAGGGTAGCACCAGCTGGCTTGGTACTCACTATATAGAAGAGAGATCTACCTGCATCTGCCTCCCATTGAAGGCGAGTGCCACCATGCCCAGCCTTTTGTCCATTTTCTGTATCATGAATTAGTCTCAGTTTTAAATCTTCATTATTTTTTTCTGATTTTCTTGGATGTCTTTTCTTATTCTAATTTCTTTTTTTTTCAATGTATATTTTGAAATTTTGTGCATTCCATACAATATATCTTAATCCACATCCTCCCATAGCCCCTACCAGATTTCATGCATTCTGTCATATATGGTGAGGCCTATCGAGTCAAAATTTGTACCCAGATGTCCTTCAATGCAAGTTCATCCACTGGGGTCTAGTCGGCCTATCTCGAGTCACTCCCTTAAAGAAGATCAACTCTTCCTCACCCAGCAATAATCAGATTTCTCAGCTAAGGTTGGGGTCTGCTGCCCATTTCCCCAGGTCTATGCTGTTTTTGTCTGATTGAGTTTGCATGGGTCTTGTACACGCTGTCACCATTGCTGTGAGATCATACGAGCAAGTTCTCAGAGGCCTGAAAGTCTCTGTTTCCTTATGTTCACACACCAACCCTGGCTCTTACAATCTTTCTGCCCCTCTTTTGCAATGGTCCCTGAGCCCTGGGTGGGTGAGGTTTAATATAGGAGACCTAGTTACTGTTTTTCCTTTCTTCTTTGATAATAAAGATATTTAAGCCAAAAAATCTCTCTGATTATTCCTTTAGTTATACCCTCTAGATTTTGGTAGATGTTTTCACTTCTTTTGTCTTCCAGAAATAATTACTATGCATTCCCTTTGACTTTTAAAAGCTTTGAAGTTTCAGTTACAATATTTTTTGTTTTATATTGTTGTCTGACTTTGTTATTGAAATCTAACCTACTAACAATGTAACCAGAGAGAGGTAAAACTTGATCAACCTAAAGCTTTTCAATCTCAATAATGTTTCACAAGCATTTGCAAAGGTGTCTATGGAGAACTTGCTCTGTCCTAGGAAGTTCACTGTTTTCCAAGTGTATCCTCTATATCCTATTTATCTTATACAATCAATTATGAGCTTAGGGGTGAAGAACAATCTTTTTTTCATGATTATCTACTTTCAAATATTTTAGGTAAAGAGGAAGGGGCTGAATTCATGTTGCAATCCAATCTAGAAGTTTTTTTATTCCTTTAAATGTATAAAATAAAACTATTTACATTTATTAACATGGTGATTTGTTTAATATATGTGTTATGTCAAACTTTTATTATGATTTATTTATCTCTTAGTTTTCTTGAGATTGAGAAAGATCTTTATTTCTATTCTAATAGTTGCCTTTAAAATGAGAAATATGGGACTAGAGAGATAGCTCAGTGGTTAAGAGCACTGGCTGCTCTTGTAGAGGACCCAGGTTTGATTCCCAGCATCCACATGGCAGCTAACAATCATCTGTAACTCCAGTTCCAGGGGATCCAACACTCTCTTCTGACTCCATGAGCATTGCATGACACAGGTGTACATACAGATATGCAGGCAATACACTCATACACATAAAATAAATAAAATATTTAAAAATAAAATGAGAAATGCATACAATGCCCTGTCTTTGCTTTAGACAAAGCTGTAACTTCTCTCCTTCAAACTACGTTTTCATTTTCTTCTCCCTTTTCCTGTTTTACAGCATCACTTAATATTAGCCAGTAGGAGTGCTTCTTAGTGTTTACACTTTATTATTAAATAAGTTTGTATTTCTTTTATTTATCAGCATTGAAAAAAATTATTTAATTCCCAGCTTCAACAGAGAGACAATCAACAAAATTAACCTATTCCAGGTCTTTTTCTCCTTCTCCACCTCCTGTGTTTCAGTGGTTGTACGTCCCCGATTGTTAGTATTATTATATATTAATATGGTATCTAGATTCTGCTCTGGTCCCTCATTCCCTTCCTACAAACAGATCCTTCTTTG